ATCCTTCCGCAAGATGTACCCTTCAATCTCGAATTCCTTATCTGAAATGTGAGAACCATCCCAAGTCTCGGTTATTCCGATGACATCGAAACCGTTGTCCAGTACCCTCCCTCTGAGCTCGTCTATTTTATTACGTAAGCTGCGTGCATTCGCGTAGAAACACTATACTCTTCCCTGCACACCAGTACGCGGCGGTCTACCCACTCAAAACCTCCAGCTGGATTTTTTAGATGGTTCCTTCTGTAAATTAGGACCTTATCCGGATGTTTTAGCTGGTAAACTACTTAATCCAGGCTGGGACTGAAAGACGGCATGATCCAGCCTGATGAACTACGTCATCACTCAGATGCTTCGAACTTGGTACACCAGCGGTGATGATCAATATTAGTTTGATTAATTCCTGAACTCTATGAATCCGTCTCGAATATGGAGATAATAATTAAATTAAGGACGGCTTCGACTGATTGTCTTCATGAGACATGAAAATATATAAACTGAGGTACTATGAACTACTGTGAAGGACGCATCTAGAAAAGGGAGGGAGGGAACTTTTGGTACTGTCTGGAAAGCGAGAACCATGCTGCCATCTAGTGGCATACATAAGAACTTCATTTTTCCGATACATTCAAGAGAAACTAAGGCACATTGGATCGACCCATCCGTTCGAAATGGCATCAATGATGGCAGGGCAATATTAAGGAGACATTGCTTCGCCAAAATCGGAAATAATGGCGAAGCAATATTGCTTGCAACCTATATTAATTGCAAGCCAAAGCCTGGAGCCTTAATTGGGCCTACGTCTTTTGCCACCGATGCGCCAAAAACGGGAAGTCAACTTGGAGCCTTAGGTCTTCAAAACCTCTAAATGAGATTTGAAATACTGTGCTTTCTGCAATTTAGGGCCAGAACAATTGCTTACCTCTTCAAATTTTCGCAAATAAGAGTCCCTCCTTGTATTCACTGAGAAACACAGGAAAATTACTGCACCCATTCCAACAAATTCCAGCTTCTTAGCTGGTAAGGAAGACCAGCTAAATCCAGCTGTTACCAGCTAGGTCTACCTTATTCCAGTAAAAACCCATACTGGATCCAGCCGGAATTTTTGACTAGGCTCGTAGTGGCTGTCCCTTGCTCTCGATCCCTTGCCCCCCCATCTAAAACCCTAAAAAAGGCTCATTTTCCTTCATGATAGCCAATTCGACTGCTACAGCTCCCTCTTTCGAGAAATGTACTCCGTCCTTAGCCATCGGACTTCTACAACGCCTCAGAGCCTCCCTAGTATCCAGAAACACTGCACCCTCCGCGATATATAATTCCTTCAAGCTGTCTTTAACCCCTTCCGACCTGGACCACGTGATTCCTCCCTTGTCTAGCCTGCTCGGGATCGCGCATACCGTCACCCGCACCCCCGACCTTGCCTCCCGACACGCCCTAATAGCCTGCCTCAGCCTGCCCATGATGAGTTCAGAGCCTATCGTTAGTCCCTACGTGAAGTACCACCGACACTTCCTCGGCTGACTCGGAGCACACCACCGATCCGATCCTATCCCTAATGTGTTCAATCCTAGCACCGGGAAACTGACTGAACGAAACCTGAGCTCCTGTATCTTTTTCCATCGCTCCCTCAAAACGCCTGACGTTCGAGTCACTGACGATTACAAGAGCCCGAGTTTTTCCTTTCCCTTTCAACACGCCCTGAGCTTGTCCTGCCGACCTCACACCTGTGCTTTGCTGATCTTGTGTTTGATCTGGTTTCCCCATTGTCTTATCTTTATGACACTGCCTTTCCTTCCTATTAAGGTTTTCCTTGGTCGATTTTCCGAAATGTCTTGGGCACTGATTTGACTAATAACCGCCGAGAATAGACTGAAATCCTCGAAAGGACTCGAGCCTAGGACTACAAGTGAAAATGACAGACGAAGGCGTTGCTGCATTGGTTGTTGACAATGGGTCTGGAATGTGCAAGGCCGGCTTTGCTGGGGATGATGCCCCAAGGGCTGTATTCCCGTCCATTGTTGGAAGACGAAAACATCAAGTGAATCCAGCATTGGAATAATTATATAGACAACGAATGCTGCTTAGATCCTTGTAATTCACAATGGAGAATTTCCTCACATGCTCTTCTGTCCTCCAGGGTGATTTGGTTGGAATGCGACTGAATGATTCCTATGTGGGATATGAGGCTCAAAGCAAGCGAGGCATCATCAACTTGACATATCCAATGGAGCATGGCATTGTTACCAACTGGGATGACATGGAAAAAATTTGGCGCCATACCTTCTACAATGAGTTGCGTGTAGCTCCAGAAGAACATCCAGTGCTGCTCACAGAGGCACCACTGAATCCAAAGGCCAACAGGGAGAAGATGACCCAGGTCTGTTATCGTATGAAATTGCCTATGTAGCAATCCTTCTTACATATTTTTCTTACGTATTAAGGTACTATGGGAGGATGAAAATCGACCCCCCTGGATCGAAATTCCGCTTTATAATTATTGTAAGGGACCTCAAGAAAGGGCCTTGGAGCCAATTGCTGACTCTCTGCGGTCACGCCCGGGGCCATTTTCTCAAATATTGTCTGAAACTTTCCGGCAAGAACTTTCCGGCCAACCCAATATGTATTTTTATACAATATATCAACCCCCGACCTTGCCTCCCGACACGCCCTAATAGCCTGCCTCAGCCTGCCCATGATGAGTTCAGAGCCAGACTTGAAAGTATCGTTGATCGTTACGTGAAGGACCACCGACACTTCCTCGGCTGACTCGGAGCACATCACCGATCCGAACTTATCCTTAGTGTGTTCAATCCTAGCACCGGGGAACTGACTGAAAGAAACCTGAATCTTTTCACATTGCTTCCTCAAGACGCCTGACGTTCGAGTCACCGACGATTGCAAGGGCCCGCGTTTTCCCTCTCCCCTTACACACGGTCTATGAATGGTATATGAATGGTACTGATTTCAAAAACATGGTGGCTTACATCTACACATGGCAATATGAGTCTATTAGGAGAGTGAACATTTCATTGCTCAGCTCCACAGGAAATTTCTGTAGAAGACTTGATAGAGCTCAACTGAAATTCATGATTTTCCAAAAGGCTTCACCAATTTTAAGAGGTTTCCAAAGAGAATACCAAGCTGTTTTATTTTCATTATTTACAGCAGAGAAATTATCTTCACCGTTTCATCTCTATTGCCAAAGTCTGGGTCAGTACATGAAAAGGCAAGTTCTATGCACATTATGACATCTTGTGTTAAGGTCAGGGGTTGATATATTGTATAAAAATACATATTGGGTTGGCCGGAAAGTTCTTGCCGGAAAGTTTCAGACAATATTTGAGAAAACAATTTTATTCAGCAACTATACAATATCAGTCAACAATGTAAGCACCATTGTGTTCCACTACATGTCTCCACCTTTCAGCCAGGGAATGGATTCCGCCGTGGTAGAACGATGGGGGCTGAGACTCAAAGAACTGTCGCAAGTAGCATTCGAGGTCTTTCTGGTCGTCGAACTTTTTCTCTTTGAGGCGGTTCTGCAGGGCACGGAAAAGGTAGTAGTCCGACGGAGCAAGGTCCTGGGAGTACGGTGGGTGCAGCAGAATTTCCCATCCGAGGGCGAGGAGCTCGAGTTTCATCTTCGCGGTATGCGGCCGGGCATTGTCGTGGCAGCACTTTGCAGCACTTTGTCACGTCCCAGCCGAGCCGTTGAGAGTTTCTAGCTCGATCTCTCCAGTTGGTCGCAGCAGTAGGCCGCCATGATCCATCAACTCATCGCCTCCTATCCCAGCACCCGCTCTGAGCTATCTTACCATCAGGCCTAGCTGTGCCAGTGGAGCAGCGGTGGCGCGAGGAGTGGTCCAAGTCGACGATGACTAATTACCAGGTTGTCGACGACCCTTCCGTAAAACCACCAGGCTTCAACCTTCCACGAAAACTGTGGACCCTTCTGAATCGCTTCCGGATTGATCATGGGCGTTGTGCGGCTAATAACCACCGACAGGGACTGCGTGATAGCCCACTGTGCGAATACAGTGAACCAAAAACAATGTCGCACATAAATGATGACTGTTCAATAGCTTGCCTCCATGGTGGTCTTTGCACTCTGCACGCCGCTGATGATGATCCTATCACATGGCTAAACAAGCAAGCCCTGGCCTCGTCCACCAGTTGCTCCACTTGAATTCATAACACCCTGCCCGCATGGGCATTCGATAAATAAATAAACTGCTGCCCAGTCTGCACAACAATATTGCCTCAACGTTGCACAAGAAGTGAAGTTTAAAGACTGAATTTGCATTGATTCAATATTAGAATGAATTAGTTCTCGACATTAATGAGGCAATGAATTTATACTCCAGTTGAGTGCTCAATATCATGTGAATGTTGTGTCAGCCGGATCTTAGTACATAAATATAATTGATTCAATGTTGACATTAGAGAAGGACATTTCAGTTCCACGGTAGCAAAATGCCAACAAGATGATGGTAGTCAATGGAAAGGCGGCTGTGCATCACTCCATACTCATAGATCTTCCCACGAGACCAACAGAACTAGGACTGGAATGTTCCTCTCTTGTCAAACCGGGGCGTCTCAACGAGCCGGATCACATTGCGAACTTTCCTCTTTCTGCTTCCGGGCTCAGAATAGCCCTGGGTCTCGTTGTGTTGGGCTGCCTTTAACGTCGAATGTATTGAGGAATTTTAATTCCTTTCCCAGTGATGTCTGGGAAGAAAATATCAAGTACCTTTCGAAAAGTACTGGGGGAAAAGTTCTGGGGTGACTCAAATTATTGGCAGTTGAATCGCCCTCTCACTTCAAGGTCTGGGAACCTTGTTCGAGTGATTGCCATATGGCTTCACCAACATGTTGGTGCAACATTGAAGGGACAATCAGTAAGACTTACTCAACTGAAGTGAAACGCGCATTCCATGTCTTCGCAATAATAATACTTGTCTCATTTTCCAACATCGAGACAATGTTGATTATGCGTTGCATCACTCGCCACGACATGGGAATGGGACATTCCTGCTTTTTGCATTTTCCATATCTAGAATACAACAGAAGGTCTCCGGCCTTATCTGTACTGGAAGCTATCTCAAGTTCAACTTTATTTCATGCACTGCACAGGTTAAATCATGAGGTCGAAAGACAGCTTAATCATCTCAGATGGACACTTCGGCTTCAGGACTGGCTATTGATAGGTCACTCACTCTGGCCGAGTCCGCTACCAAAGAGTGAGGAAAGTGGGAACTTTTTTTTTGCATAATTTTCCAGATATGTGGAGTGATTTTCTTGTAACTTCAGTGCATGTTCATATGATTTACGAAAGGAGACAAAGCTCCAGCAATGGTTTTTCTTGGACTTCGTTCACTTTCTATTGTGAAGACTAAAGTGTTCACAAAGAGAATTATTTCATCCTTGAAAAGGAAAAGGGAGTTGGCGGGAGAGAGAGAGAAAGGGGTGGGAGAGAGGGGGTAGAGGGAGAGTGTGTATGTGTGTGTATGTGTGCGAGCTTTATAAATTGTGAAATTATGGACAACATTTTTGGAATAGTTTTTCACATTCCTGTATCGGCTAATAAAATATTACTGACGGGGTTCTGCTGGCTTCTTGATCTGTATACGATAAAAATGAGTTTCATGAATAGATCAATCATAAAGATACCAGAGAACGACTGTTATAGAAGTGTACCCGTCAAAATAGTTTTTGAAATATTAGCCCAACCAGAAGTATTGATATTGGTGATCGATTCCTCACACAGCGGCAGGTGTTTCCCACATGATAATCGAAAGTTTCATATTCTCCTTCATCACACCTGTCTATAGGAATCGAGTTGCCAGCCGGAGGAGAACAATGAAAGGCAGTAGGAATGGATTGATCAGCGACAAGGAGGCCAGGTTGCAGTAGTGGTCGGTGCAGAAGCATTTGGTCAATCCTTCGTCCGTAGAGCAATCTTCGTCGTCATTAAAGTCCTTCTGGCAGTATCTCGCCATCCAGTCACCTGCACACATTACATATGATCGACAGGAAATATTTCAATGAAGGAACTACCATCTATTGGTATGACCTTCCTTTTCCTTCCATGAAAAGACAAATCTAGCCATCGTTGTGAAATCTTGCATTGAGGCAATGCCAAGGCCTGTTCAAGCATCGATTCCACATGCGTCGAGGGGGAATTCCATTTCGAAAGACGGAGACGTGCTTCATTCATCGCGCCAATGGACATGAGAAAGCGGACAAAAAATTATAACCCAGGGTTTACGCCTTTATTCGTTGCATGAAGCAGAAATTAATCTCCCTTTAGCGAGGTTGTTCGAGAAAGTTTCGGTCATCCCTTGATCCTTCGAGTATCAAAGAAAGACATGAGTTTAGACAATCCCCCAGAAGCATAGAATGACCCTAGGGAAGTCCCGTTTGCATCCCAACGTCTCCTGTTCCATTGTGAACTATATTCGGATATTTCAAATACCACTTTTAGGGTCATATCGGTACCTGACCGCTAAAAGGGCATACGAGCAATTATTAGAAAATTTGAGCTTTTGGCATCCCTGAGTTCAACTTATCAAGCTGTATTTCCTGCTAAAAGGACATTTGCCTGTCTTAAGCCGTTTAGGAATTAAGGGGTTCTAAAAGGGCATTTGAGCTGATTGGACTTTAAAATCTTATTTTTTTTTTAAAGGAAGTTTCTTCTTTCTCATGTAAAATTTGAAGAAGTTTTCAAATGCCCTTCTTGAGGTGAGGTACCGATATCTCCCCCATATCCAGCTCGATGAATTTGCCCCCTACTTGCAAACCACGACTTATTGTGGACAATTGGACAATTTCTACAAAAACAAAACAAAAACAAAATTTACAAAAACAATTTTAAAAATTATTATAACCTGAAATTTGGATGCAAGAATCGGAATCGGGTAGGTGATCGGTGAGAGAAGTAGAAAAGTAAGCTGCTTTTTGTTTCCCTTCACCCTTCTCCACCCCTGTCCCTCTCCACCCCCTCGCGCTCTTCCTCTACTCAGTCCTTCTCCACCTCCTCGTTCTCCTCCGCCCCTCACCCCCTCTGCCCCTCTTCCACTTTCAAACATGTTCCACCACCACAGCATCGAGATGAAAGAAACGAAGTCACCCTAGTTGAGGTCAAGTGCATCTGAGAATCTGAAGACATTGGGCTCCAAAAAGGTCTGAATAAGCCTACGAGCATGGATTAAGTACTTTACGAGTACAGCACCTGTTTCCTAAAGTGCCATCCCTCGTCCCTGTAAACTACGGAAGGGATAACTCATGCAAACTGTGCATCATAATTCTGTGAAGTGTTTTTAAGAGAATGAATTGTTGATTGGAGTATATTTGTAGTTTTAGATATATGGAGGAAAGAAGATGGTGAGTTTTGTTCTGGGGATACTTTGCCTGAAATCACAATAATGAATCCGTCGAAGAAGGACTTCATCGACTAGTTGTACCCAGAAAAATATTGCAAATAGAATCACGTAAGCGTGTGACATCTCTTCTGCATGAGAGTAAATTGAAGAAATAGTCGAATGCGACAGAGAACGGTATCGACCATTTTGCAGAGTATGAGGAAGACGTACCGTTATACTCCTTGGCGCAGGCAACGTTGTTTCCGTCGGGACATGTCTGCTTTGCGTTTTCTTCATTCGACAGGTCTTTTATGTCCTTGCATTGTGTAATGTTTGCCAAGTTCTTGAACTCACTCGTGATGAGGTTGTCGATCGCCTGCGCTCGGGTACGATCCGCTGTGTCTTTGTTGTTCCAGGTCGGTCGACAGACGTAGCACTTGAGGCTCGAGTCCTCTCCTGCGTACAACAACGGAAACAAACCGGAGGAGGAATTCAACTCTCATCCGTCGTGCATCATAACATTTTCCTCTTGAGGAATTTATGCGTGAAGTAGCAGTTCGAAATCCCCATGAAATGATGGTGGCATTCACCGTTTATGGAATTTGAATGAAGTGAGGAAGATGGCCTCCTGGTTCTCCCACTGTCTACCATGTAATACCATGAGTCATAGCCTCCCACGTCCAACGCGTCCTCTGGCCACGTCAAAACAGACATTTTAGAAGTGGATTCATCGAGGGATGACAAAACTTTACTTTCAGCAGGTTACCTATATTCTATGGTAATTCTGGTGTCTGAGCCATCAACAACTGTATTCCTGGTTTATGAGGTTAAGCTCAGTCTATTAAAATTTTCTGAATATGTTAATGTAAAAATGAATACGAAACAATCAGCTATAACCCGGGAGTTGGGATTTTAGTCAAATGTGAATCACCTGAATGGACCGAAAGGAAAAGAAATTCATCCTACGTTATGAATGTTCTTTTTTTTTACATTTGATGAAAAATAAAAAAGCTAATTTTTCTGCAAGTTCTGCAGTTTCCTTTCACCTCCCATGCAGTTGCAGCATGATATTTGAAGCTATACTCAGACCCATAACATCTCTGCGATATAGCAGCTTCATGCAACCACCTTGACTTTCTTCGTCGAGAGACATCGGCCACTCCTTTCTTCTACGAGCATGGGGAACTTACGAGTTTGGGCTTCTTTTTTTTCCAAAAATGGTGCTAGATTGCTGCTATATAAATTTAACAAATACGCAATTTTCCTATATACCAATACCTCGCAATTTTCTCGATCAGTCTCCATGTTTCCGAATGCACGAATTGAGTCAGAAAAAATTAGTCGGGTAATTGTTTAGAGTACATTTGAGAACCTCGAGATACCAGGTCACAAATAGGGGTTCTGCCTCTACTTCAAGTGGGCTTGTTTTATTTGACTTTCTCTCGAAAGAATGCAGAAGTTGACCCAAAGGAAGCAGATGACTGAGAATCCCAGGAGCTGAAGCCACGTCATAAGCGATAGAATGGACTGGAGCAGATTAGTATTTACTCACCAAGGAGTCAGTTAGTCTTGCTTACCCCTTCAGCTCAAATGGATCAACCGTGCACTGAATAAAGTTATTTTAAGAAATTGCTCGAAGACTGACACGATCCGGAGATGAATACTCAAGGAATGATCAAACTGCTGCTGTGAATATTGCTTAAGGCATGCTACAAATCAAAGACCCGCAATTTTCTATGACAGAAATATCAGAAATTTTTTGGAAAGGTGAATAGATGGTCTCAGCAGAAAGAATTCCTGGTCATTCCCCTCCAGAAATCCGTCATAGTCAAGCATCGCGCTTTGGATGTTGAACATTTGCATAAGAGGGGTGCCCAATAAGTTCTCGGCCTGACCATGATAAGGTGATTTGTTAACAATACTTTCATTGTGTTTTTATAACATTCACCCTTAAAAACTTCTCCAATCGTCCCTCTAGCATCACTATGCCGGTCTTGAAGCATCTTTCTCGAATCCCTCGTACCACCCTTCAATTTCGCGCTTCACTTTATTGTTGTCTTGAGATCTCTTCCCACGCATGTGTTCTTTTAGATGAGAAAGCATGTTTTAAAATCATTGAATGCCACGTCGGGTGAATAAGGGGGACGTGGCAATTATTCGAAGGCAGCATGATGGTGGGCGACCTGTAAAATATCGGCAGTGTGAGCTGATGCATCGTCATGCAAAATGAGGATCCCTTTCCTCAACTTTCCTCGGAGCTTCTTCTTGGATTCTCGTCGTCTTTCCAGTAATGCAGCAAGGTACTGGCCCGTGATCGTACTGTTAGGGGACTCATAGTCTATGTGAATGGTTCCCGTGGTGTCCCAGAAAATCGCCGCCAGGACTTTGTTAACCGAGGAGGGAGTCTGAAACTTTGTGGGTGGCGGAGAGTCCTCGTGCATCCACTCCATCGACTGTTGCTTGGATTCTGAGTCCCGGTCGTTCAATTAGATTTCATCCCCCAGTAACTACCCGCGAACAAAAGTTCGTTGGATCTGCGTTGAACCAGTCCAAATTCTGTCGATTCAACATGATCCTGTCATCACGTTGAACGACGGATAACATTCGAGGAACCCAGCGGGCACAGTCCTTGGTCAATCACAGCTTGAAAACTGTCCTTAAAGATGTCCGTGACATGTACTACTGCATTTCTCTCGTTTTGATTCATCTGCCCTCAATTGCCATCTCTTCTACGGCAATACAAGTCCCTTCGGAAGGTCGACCCGGGCGAGAATCAACTTTCACCGAATCACGTCCTCGTAGAAATTCAGCTGACCACTCCTAAACAGTGCTGCAGGAAGGCGAATGATCTTTATTAACGTTCAGCAGGCGTATATGAATGTCCGTGGCGACAAGCCTTCCTTTTTTAAAAACTATATCATAGATAGGTGCTCAAAAGCTTCTAAATTGTCTTACAAAAACCGATGGTTCAAGGTAGTCAGGCCGAGAACTTATTGGACGCCCCCATAAAATGTTGAGAAATTCCTTACTCGAGATCTCAGGAATCAGTCGTCATAAGTTCATTAATACAGGGTGTATGGTAAGTAACTCCCTATTTTGAAATGCTTGTAACTCTTTTATTTTTTAACGAAATTTAATAAAACAAACTGTGAATTACCACCAGTTAGTGAGGGTTTTATTCGTCCACACTTCAGACTTCCACGTACGCTCCTGCATTGTCAACACAATTCCTTAGGCGAACAGTATGTTTTCCACTGTTGATCGTAACATGTGTCGAGGTACGTTAAGAACACTGTTGATACTTTCTTCCAGTTCCAGGACGGAAAATTTTGTTTCAAGAGAGATAAAGCATACTACAGGCAAATGTATCATTACGAAAACAATGTGAGCAGATGAGAAGGTTACTTATCAGTTTCTTATCAGCTGATGATAACTCGAAAACCACGTGTCGAATAGGAGGGACAAAAGGCCTTATCGAACTTTTTACTTGAGCACCATTATTTGTATTTCTTCTAGAATGGTGCATTATGGAAAGGAAACATGAATCCATTGCTGTGAAGCGTTATTCGAATAAATCCAAGATATAGAGGCGGATTACTTGTAACCAGATTTCTTCTCATCATCGCGGTACAAATAAGAACCGGAGCGACTTCGAACGGCGGCTGATGAAAGCAAAAGTCACGTGCAGACAACAATTCTCTAAGCGTTCAAGTAATATCCGTCATCTCATTCGCATATGACGTGAGGAAAAGAAACTGCTTTCGTTACAGGTAAGCAGCACGATTGAGAGAAATACCCTGGGTCAACCAGAAGCATATCCGCTGTGGGACCACATCCGACTCTATTTGTATTCTCGCTAAACTGGTAATAAGGTTCAGTATTGTTTCAAAAATTGTCCCATCAAGACGAACAAAAGATTTTTCATCTTTTTCCGATGTTTAACAGCAGTTTAACAAAGTGCCACACCACGACATGTGTCGGCAAATGTGCGCAAATTATTGAAACTGAAAACTGTTTTCGGTTTCAGTGATCGTGAAAATGTCGAAAACTGAGAAAAATCATAGAAAAAATCGTGGGCAATAAATATTCACGATTCTGTATTTCGCTTTCTTTGGGATATCCGAAGAATGAGAACTCGGGTCTCTCGTTTTTGTTAAAGTCGAATCGAGATCGCATCGAGTTCGTACTGGGGCCAGTGGCATCTTTTTTTATTTTCTTTTTTATTTTCTCTCTCTCTCCATTCCTAGCTGAGTATTCCAGTCACTTCGGCTTCCAGCGGGGAGGCCCCTATATTTTCATCCTGTTCTACTGCGACATTCCTTGTTGCTACAGATACACGCGTTCCTTTTCTCTGGTCCGCATTTCGGAAGCTACTCTTCTACTGTTGGTTGGGGAAACATCACGGAAATACGGTACAATAACAAAGCGCGTCGAATATTCATCTCCGTGTTTTCCTGTCATGTACACGGAAATGGTAAAGGCTGTATTCCACTACGGGCGCCGGAAATACGTTTCATAGTAAACGAATGCTCTGGCACGCCCTGCAAAAACTGTTTTTATTTAGTTCTACGTTAAACTGTAGGCGTATTCAAGTGAATGTGAAAGCACCAAGCTTTCAAAGTCTGGTAAGCGGCATCTTGAACCAATTATAAGAACGGTCGTCTCAGATTAGTCTCGTTTGAAATTTGAATTTTGAGAAGCGAGCATCTGGAAGGACTCTGGAATTCATGCGAGTACAGAAGTAACCTCACCTGCAGAGTATCGGAGGATGACGAGGAAGTTGATGGCTAACAAGTAGAAAGGCGTCATCGTTTCAGTACGTAACGTGAAACAAGGCACTCGAGAGTCTGCAGGCAAGCGCGTTTCTGAATGAGATTCGGTATGACCCTATACGGTCCTCTCGAACGGGAGCCTTATCAAGAGGCGAAAAAGCGTCCCCCACGCATTTGTCGCTACGCAGATTGTGCCAAGGCACGAAAGAACGACAAAGAGTGAAGAGATTGTTTGCCCAGCCTTTACTTTTCTCTGCAGTCTTCCTCGATCTTTTCCCCTCTTTCACAAGCTTTAGAGGAGAGGCGTGAATTTTCGCCGTGTCGTGCAACTTCAGGTCTCATCCACTTCCGTCACTTTCATTCCAACCTCACTTGTGAGCCGTAGCTCATGTGGAAGGACCACTTTCACAGTTTCGGAAGCCATTCGTCCCAGCAAAAACTTCGTATTCGGCAGATTCTACTTTTTTTTTTAAACCTGTTTTTCAATTACGTTATCTCTCATTAGCGTTGTCAAACGCGTGTCCGGTCAATTCCCATGACGGTCCAATCCCCGAGCGGACTTTTCCCCGAATGGAATTTTTCCATGAAGGACATTTCCCCCGAATGAATTATCTCCGTCGGACCCTTTCCGGCGGAGATTCATCATAAGCAACCAGTACTGAATATTTAAAAATTAATATTTTCGTCATTTTTAGAGCTAGCCTAATAAACAAAAACCAAATTGAAGAGCACAATTGATATAGCTGTTGACAATTTTCTACAAATTTCACACACGTACAATCATGACGCACTTGGAAAAGCATGTGGTTGATACACTAAAAAAAACTGTTTTGGTAGCCAGTGTTGACGACACATGACCTTTATTCATTCACGAGCGACCCCTTATCAGTTCCCAAGAACTAATACAAAAGGATAGACGAGAGTTGGTTCCAGAAAAAAATT